CTTGCTCCCCGGGGCGAACTGAGCCTGTCCTGCCGGCTCCTTGGCCTGGACTCCTCTGCGCCCGGCCCTTTCCGGAGGCCTCCGATGAAGCCGGGGAGCGGCCAATTCCTGTCAGGCCCGGCCCCCTTCCCCTTCCCAGCTTCCTGCCTTTCGGGTTCCTTCCCTGCGGGGAGGAGACGTGTTCATCAGACAGAAAACGCTGCAGACAAACTGGTGGGGCCCAGCCCGGCCTTTCCTCCCCTGCCCCTTCCCAGCCAGGAGTGGGATCATGTGCACCCCCTGCAACCCTCCCCCCCGCGCCCCACCGCTCTGAAACAGGGTCAGCTTCTACGACCGGCCTTCCCCTCATCTAACAGCCCTGGCACCCCCCCCCCCCCCCCCACACACACACACTGGACTGCGCGCCTACGGCAACCAGGGGCAGACAGTGGCAGGCTGGGTGGGGATGGGGGGAGCCAGATTTGCTCCAGCTGCCCCCACGGAGCTCCCACACTTTCCCCCAGCCAGGACAGGAGAGCAAGGAGGGTTAAATGCTTAAAGGGGTGGCGCTGTCCCTCCCGCCCAGCGGGAAATGCAGCCTCGCGGGCTCTTACAGGTTGTTTTTTTTTAATGTTCTTGAGTTCTCTTCCCTCAGGGCACCACCACCGCTTAGCGCCTGCCTCTGCAGGTGTCTGCCTGAGGGCCCGCTATGGTGCCAGCTGCCTGGAGCGCCTGGCCTGGGGGGGTTGTGCGGCCACCAGTGGGCGTGAGAGGACAGCAGGGGGAAGAGGACAGCCCTGCCTGGCCGCTCCGCAACATGGCTTAACAGGTAATAAGCACAACCAGCTCGGAGAGCAGTAGGTCGCAATGGCCTTGACCAAGGAGGCCAGGGCCATTCTCCCCATTTTACAGATGAGGAAACTGAGGCACGGAGTGGGCCTATGCCTTGCCTGAGGTCACCCAGCGGGACAGTGGCCACTAACACACTGAACCTCCCTCCAGTGCCCTTCCGGGCCAAAAGGAAGGTGCCAGCCCCACACTGAGCTGGGAGAGGGCCCAAGTTAGAGTCAGGAGCGTTGCGAGGGGCTGTAGTCCTTGCCCCAGGAGCCCACAGAGGAGGGGCGTGGCCTGACTAGTGCTAAGCAGCCCAGCCGGGGAGGCTATTGTGCAGCGTCTTCTCGAGAGCGCTTAGCCAGCCCCTGCCCCAATCCCCCACGGCTTCCCCAGTGTCCACGCAGCTCATTGGCTGAGCCAGAGCCGCGCAGAAACCTCTCACTCCCCCGCCCTGGCCTCCCGCCACGGCCTGGACCTTCCCGAGGGCCCAGAACGAGCCGGGCTCACACCCAGGCCCGTGTCTGCCCCTGCAAGCCCCTCAGGCAGCCAGGAACCAGGAACCACGGGTGTTCACTGCACGGCAAACCGGGCCACGCAGGCTGGGAATCACTTACACGGTCACTGAAGGGCACCCGGGGGGGATGGAGCACAAGGGGCCAGCTTCTAACCATTATCCTTAGTGATGCGTCAGGGCGGGGGAGAGGAGCACTTAGCTGAGATCAGGCCCCCTCGTACTAGACGCTCTACGTATGTTTAGGGGACAGTCCCTGTCCCAACGAGCTTCCAGTCGGCATCGATGCACAAAGGGCAGGAGGGAGCCCGGAGAGATGAAGGTCCAGATTCCCAAAGGGATTTAGGTACCTAATTCCCCTGGGCGGCAGGGGGAGTTAGGCACCTGCATAGTTTTGAGGATCTGGGCTGGCACCCAGCCGACAAGCAGCAGAGCCCTGTTGTTCTGTGGCTCACGCCGCACCGTCCACAGGCCCATCCCGCCTCTCGGTAGCTGTGGCATGTGGCTGCTGGGTACTGGATGGCACTGGCCGGGAGGGAATGAGATCCACGCATTCAGTCTAACAGCTCACAGTCCGTGACCCACGTGCCCTGTGGCCCCTGGCTGAGGCTGCAAGAAGGGCTCGTTAGGGCCAGGGAGATAATCCAGCAGGCTCCTGAACAGTCAGGGGAAGCCAATGCTCAGTTTAATACCCTCCCTCGTTTCCCCTTCTCCCACTGGGCACTCCCAGCCCGCAGCAGTGTCACAGTAATTACATTGCAGCCCACAGCACGCCAGATACAGCTCGTGAAACCACACTCACCACCCTTCATCTGCGCCGTCAGCCGGTTCCCACCCCGTGGGGTAAATAGCTAACAAGCTGCGAGAGTGGGGCCTAGCCAGGGTCCCGCAGGTAGGGCACTGGGCTGGGAACCAGCAAAGCCGGGTTCCCAGCTCCGTCACCGAGGTGCCGTGTGACCTTGAGCATGTCTCCTTTGGGCTCCAATTAAGGCAGCAGCTGCCAGGGCTGGTTACCAGGGCTGGGTGTCATTAACCAGAGCTGGGAACAGCTGTCCTCCAAGCAGCTCCACGCAGCCGCTCCCAGCAGAGGGACTAAAGCAAGGCACATTACAGCCATCTAGCCGGCCGGTTCCTCCGCGGGGAGCAGCCATCCAGCGGCCAGGTTTGTGGAGCTCGATTTGCACCCGGCAGCTCCCCGGCCCCTGCCGTCACGTCGGATCCATTCGAAGGCTGGCCCCTCCTTGAGCAGCAGAGCCCCCCAGAGCCGCACGCTGGAGCTGGACGCCACCTAGTTGCAGCTGCCATGCAGGTTTTCCCCGCCTGCGTGCCACAGCCTGCAGGGTGCCTCTCCCCCTCCCCCGGGCTGGCTGCACTCATGGTTTTACAACACACTCAGGCCTGAAATCTCCCAGCTTGTTTAGTACCAGAGGATAGGGCCGGCCCCTCTGTGACCATCTAACACATTCTGGGGAGATGCGCCAGGCTCAACTGCCCTTACCTAGGGCCAGAGATGCCTTGCTACACCCGGGGGACCCTGGAGAGCACAGGGCAAAACCCACTGCTAGGGTGAACCCGCCCAGCTTTACAGAAGTCAGGGGCGTTGTGCTAATAGAAACCAGCAGCGAGTTTGACCCCACTGATCGGCCCAGCAGTCTAGTTCCCCTTCACCTGCAGAGACGCTGGGGTGCGAGGGGATGGGTAGTAAACGTCAGTGCAAGGACAAGTTTACGGTTCTTTTATTCCGGGGGGGAGGGAAGAGTTTACAAAACTTCCTCAGTGACTGAGCTTCTTAAAAAAAAAAAGGGGGGGGGGAGGAGAATTTAAAGGGACGGATTTAAAAAAAATCCTTCCAAGCCCCTTCAGCCCTGGCCACGCTCAGCACAACAGCAACAGAGCGTAGGTGACCAAAGCTGAACCCTCCTCTCCAGCCGCCTGGCTTGCAGGGTTGCTCTGCCCGCTGGTTCCAGCAGCCTCTGCGGGAAACTGATGAGTTTCCTTGTCTGTTTCTGCCGGTTGTCACGTCCCAGCGGCTGTAGCCTTGCTGGCTCTCAGGTGTTAGCCCCGCCGGGCGGGGGGGGCAGGAATTCACTGCAGGCGAGGGTCCAACTCCAGAGAGGACCCCTCTTCTGCTCTGCCGAGATTCCCAGCCACGTCCGGTCCTACGTCCCCCCATACACAGGCCCCCATCCTGCAAGAGGATCGCTCCCAAGCAACGCTACCCCCATGCAGACACACTGGCGGGACCAGCCCACCTGGCTTTAAACCCTTCGTGGGCACAAGACCCAGCGGGGCAGAATCAGGGGAGGGCAGTGGCCTGGGCCATGTTTGGAAGTTTTACGGGTGCAGCCGCCGTCCCATGGGCCTAAAAGCGCCTCCGCTGGTGTAAACGCGTCTGCAGGAGGCGCCTGGGCCGGGCCAGGGGGAGCCCCCTGCAACTCCAGGGGGCCAGACCCTGCAGTGACGCGGCCCAATGCGTCCAGTGGCTCAGCCGTCGGAACTGGTGTCATGGCGCCGCCTGGCAAGTTTGGGGGCAATTTCACTGGCTTTGAGCACCCTACTGTAGAAAGGGGTCAAGTGCCCCTGCAAACAATACAAGCCCAGACTATACCAATGGTGAGCATATTGCCTGCTGCTGCCCCCATATCCCTCACCCCCCTCTGCTGTCCTGGCTCCTGCCTTTCCCACTCCCCTCAGCCCTTTCAGGACCTGCCCACCTCCTCTGCATCAGCCCTTCTGTTCCGCCTGTGCCCTCTCCTCCTGTAGTCCCATCTGATCAGCTGCAGCTGCCTCTGCCCATCCCCTCTGCTAACACCTCCCTCTTCCCACCTGCCCTGTCTCTCCCCTCTTGTTGCCCATCTCTCCCCTCCCCGGGTCTGCCCGTCTGCTTCATCCCCACAATCCCCTGCCCCTTCCCAGACCCCTGTGCCCTCCCGCCTCCTCCTGCGACAGAGAGGACGGGTCTGAGCCTGTGGGGCTGCCCCGGGACCCCCTGAGTCTGCCCGTCTGCTTCATCCCCAGAATCCCCTGCACCTTCCCAGACCCCTGTGCCCTCCCGCTTTCCTCACTGCCCCTGTCCTCCCAACCCCTGCCTCCCTTGCCCTCTTCCTCCCTGATGCCCACCCCCTCACCACCCTCTGCCCCAGTTCTCCTCACGCCCCTCTGTGCCCTCACACATGACTTGCTCCATCCCCTGCCTTCTTCATGCCCCCCACTCCTCCTCCTCCCTCTTGCCCCCATTGTCCCTCCCCTCTCCTCTCCCAGCAATACCCTGTCCCCTCCCCTCTTCCACCCCCACTGACACCTTCCCTCCCCTCCCTTCCCCACTCCTGCCCTTTCCCCTCATTGTCTCCTCTTGGCCCCTTTGGCATTTCTCTCCTCCAACCTGCCCCTCAGTGCCTTCCCCTTTCTTCTCCTGTCCTGCCCCCCCACTCTCTTCAGCACAAGCCCCTTCCTCTTCTCACCCCCCTTCCCCTTAGTTCTCTCCCTGCCCCTTCCCTCACCTTCTGCCTTCCTGACACTTGCCCCTGCTGGGCAGGGCTGTATGGCGGGCAGCTGCCCATGTGCCGGGACTCAAACTGGGACCACGGTGCTATTTTTAGTACCGCGGCCCAGGCTTCAGCTCCAGCAGCTGCCACGCAGGCCGAGTGGTGGTTGCCCAGCTGGTCCTGGGGTGGGCAGTCACCTGCCATGCAGCCGCGGCCTCGCCCCCGGAGTAGCTGGGGCCGTAGCTGCAAGGCTCTGCTGAGGGGGTGGGCGGAAATGAAACTCTTGGTGCGCACCCCTTACAGGGAACCCTGCTAATGGCCCCGTCTGGCTTTGGAGTCTCGGACTGCCCTTCTGTTTGTACAGCGCCTTGCACAACAGGGTCCCGATCCCTGACTGGGGTCTACAGACACTGCCAGGGAAGAGAACGCCAGCAGCAGCTCTATTACCTTTCCTCATGATCTGGAGAGGAGGGGGACGTGGCGGCGGCTGCTTCCTTCTTGTGATGTTTCTCCTTTTCCTTCTCTTTCTTGTGTTTTTTCTTCTTTTTCTTCTTCTTCTCCTTTTTTGATTTCTTGCTGCTCTCGGGCCTGGACGGGGACCAAAACAGGGAGAGGTGCAAATGGCACCGGCGTGTTTTTTCAGGCACAGCTGCATCTGCTGTCCCAGGGCCAGGCGACAGGTCTCAGCCCAGCACCTGCCCTTTGGGGCTCACAGCTATGGCTCACCCCACGCAAGCTTTGCAAGCTCAGACTAAGCCCTCAGCGGCAACAATCTAGCTGTGTGATTGGTCGCTTCACTCCCGATGTCGGGTTTCTTCCACCCAATTGGTTAGCCCAGCGAGTCTCAGGTTGCATGTGGCCCCAGCAGCACACAGCTGTGCCCCTTTTGAATGCCTTAGGGCCGTACAGGCAGGCTAGATACTGCGTGGACACAGCCCATGTAACACAGAGAGCAGCAGAGGCAGCCCAGCTGGCCTCGTCTTTACAACTCCACTCCCGAATCCCAGCTGCTAGCTCCACGTTTGCACACCCCCAGGCAAAAGACTGTGCTGGCAGGGAGCGCCGTGCAATCCAAGCAGGGGCCGAGGCGGCCAGAGGGGAATCCCCCCCATTATGAGAGACACCCAGCAGCAGGTAACCAGGGTCTCCCAGGAGCCCAGTGCAGCTCTAGGCCTGCGTGGGGCATCAGTGGGCTCTTCTTACCGCTCCTCCTCCGCCTTCTCGTCCGTGCCCGGTTTTCTCTTTGTGCCAGAGGCCTCCGGGCTGTCTGCCACGCGCTGATGCTAGAAGATGGAAACACACAGTGAGATAGGAGACCATCAGGCAGAGCCAAGGGCTAACACCACCCCACCTCCCATTTGGAGCCAGGCTGGAGCAACAGCAGGACCAAACAAGGTGGCAACGTCATGGAGAGGGGACAGGGGGCAGCGGCACGGGGCTGGTAGCGTGGAGCGTCTTCTTCTCATTTAACGCCAGTTCCCTGCCCTGTGGCACCGTCCAACGTTCCAGGGGTTCCTCTGGACACAAGATGACACCCTGCCTGTCAGATCACTAAAAGCTTGACAAGGGACTCGAGAACTGGGGCTGGGCTCTGCCATCGACTTCCTGGGAGATTTTGGGCAAGTCACTTAGGCTCTCTGTTTCCCCCCCTGTAAAATAGGGCCAATGCCTCTGTAGACACGGCAGGGACCAAGCCTCTCCCATGCTCTGCAAAGCACTTAGGAGGGATGTAAAATCCCAGGTACAAAGTTAACCGGTTACACAGAATGTTTCAGGTTCTGTGTAACCTGCCCCTCACCCGCGGCGTGGTGCTGCTCCAGTTGGGCCCACCGCACGGGGGGGGGGGAGGAAGGGCTGCTCCGGCCATGCCTGGCTGGGATGACACCCCCCGCACATCGCACTCTAAGCGGGGGCGCTGCTCCAGCCACGATGCAGCCCAGTGGGCCCAGCTGGGCTGGAGCACCCATGCCTGCAATGCAGGACGGCTGCCCAGCGTGGCTGGAGCAAGTACAGTGATGCTCACCGGCTCACCGTTTACATCCCCAGCCCCGAGAACAGCACCAAGCCCAGCCTGGAAACTTACCGTAAAAACTGAAAGCCCCAATTTGGCAGCCTCTTTGTCTTCTTTGGAGAGCATCATTCTGCCATGGGAGAAATAAAGTAGAGATATACACACACACACACACACACACACTGCATGATTCTCCCTAGTCACTGAGAGGCACCAGCTGATGAGGCTTTGGGAGCAGTACGTACTGGTTAGAGCAGGAGACTGGGAGTCAGGAATTCCTGAGCTCTGTTCCCGCTCAGCTTCTGAATAGTGGCGCAATCTTGGGAGAGTAATGTCTGTGCTGCCTCAGTTTCCTCTGATGGCATGTGAGTTCATTGGTGTCTGGAAAGGCCTTTGAAAACTCTCTGATGAATGCGCTAGACCAGGACGTAGCATCGTATAATTCACACACACTTAGGCTATGTCTACACTCGCGGCTTCTTGCACGAGTAATATGCAAATGAGGCTAAGCATGGAACATCGCCGAGCCTCATTTGCATACCTAATGAGCCACCATTTTTTTCAGAAGAGGCTCTTGCGCAAGAAAGAACGTCTACACGGTTTTTCTTGTGCAAGAAGGGGCAGTGTAGACGTTCTTTCTTGCGCAAGAGCCTCTTCTGAAAAAAATGGTGGCTCATTAGGTATACAAATGAGGCTCGGTGATGTTCTACGCTTAGCCTCATTTGCATATTACTCACGCAAGAAGCCGCGAGTGTAGACACAGCCTTAGTGTGGTTCATTGTCCCATGCAGTGGCACCTAGATCACAGCAACAGTTAAGACCAAGAGATAGTTATTCTGAAATAGCTTATTTCGAAACAGCACATGTACATTAGGGAAACCTGCCTTGGACTAATTGTGAGGCTTCTCTGCAGTCTAGACGCGCTCTT